TTTTTTTTTAGGGTGCATTTTTTAATAAATAAAAAAAACTCCCCCCACCTGAGAACCTTTGTTTTTTTTTTTTTTTTTTTTTTTTACCATTTATCCATAAATTTCACAATGCAGACAGATCGATATGGCCATCAAGTGCAGATCTTGTATGAATTTTTTTTTCAGAATCTCCAGTGGCATTTTATTTCCTGGGTCTCCAGATATTCACAGTATCGTCGCCGGTGGACACAGCAACGATTCCAGCCTCCACACTCAGCTGACATTAGAAGTAGGAGGAACAGAAACAGATAAAATAATTAAAAAAAGGATTAGATCACCACTTTAACTTAAAAAAAAGACAATAATATGATCATTTTTATTAAAAGTAGAAGCTAAATATAAAGTCAGATATTTACCTTCACTATATAAAAAGACACATTACCTTTTTTTTCCCCCCCGCCTTTTAGCCACTGGTGGTACAGGATCAGAAGTCATATTGTTGTGTAAAGATACAACAATATTCCTTCTCTAGTTCTTAAATTTAACCAATAGAAATTATTTTTGTCATCCTCATTGACACAACAGTGCAGCATTTTAGTCTCATTTAATGCGAGTAAAAGAGGTGAGTCTTTTTATACGTGGAATGCAAATACCTGCTTTCAGCTGTATATAGAAGTTTGGTTACTGTCATTAAACACTTATATTTTTATTTATAGAACTGACCCCATGGACTACACCAGCATGACACAGTGTACATAAAGTCCTTGGTGGTCCACTTGGGATATGGATCTGCAAAACACATGTGGTTACAAAGCAGGATTGTGCTGGGTTTACTGTAGAAGTCAACACAACAGAAATTCTCACTGAAACCCACCTTGACGGTTTTATCGGTAGAGCAGGTGTAGAGGCTTCCTGCAGACTTGTGGATGCCAGTAACCAGAGCCGTATGTCCCACATCAAACCGGGACAGGAGCTTTAAGGTGCCGGTCTGCATGGAGAAGGAGTGCATCATGCCTTTCTTGTCTCCAGCCCAAACCTCATAGCCACTGTAGCTCATGGAGGATAAATAGGAGCTCAGCTGCAAAGCAGAAACATTGACACTATTTAGTCTTAAAACTGGATGCACAAGAGCAAAAAATAAATGTATTAAATATGTATAATATTTATCTCCACCTTAATTTTCTTTAGTGCCTTCATTGCCCTGCAGTCATAGACTGCCACAGTGCAGTCTTCGCTCCCTGAGATGATGTATGTGTCGTCAGCAGCCAGGCACATTACAGCATTACCATGGAGATGAACACTTTTAATCAATGGTTCAGCAGCTGGAAAACAATAACTTCGTTAGGCCATGCTGACGAGGTCATTTGTATGACTAAACATTTAGAAAACCTCCAGATTGACCAGGAGTAATTGTCAGTGATGGGGCTATACAGCAAAACTAACTCACTTAATTCATAACTTAATGACTTTCATGGAAGTTGAACTTTTTTAAAGCCTCAATGTTTTCTATAGGCACTTTATATGGAAGACC